GGATCTTCGATCAATTTTCTAAGGACTTTTAGGAGTTTGTTACTATTTTTTAACATGAAAAAGTTAATGTGCTAAAATTGAGATTTAGCTATATGATCATTATGCAACAACTTCACAATGAGGATAGAAAAGACTGTTAGGTGCATAATAATATAGATAATTATGACTAATGAGAACTAGTAAGATTTCGCCAAGCGACACGATAAGGCCATAAGGGCCACATATTATTATTATTTTTAAATTAAAATGACATTTTATGCTCTTAAGGAAATCCATGAACTCAATTTAACTGTTCTTTCTTACTAAGCATATGAACCATGAATTGTCTTCTTACGATTCATCAATTGGATAAATAAATTCTTTGAAAAAAACCCTTTTCGAGGAAAAATCGATCTCATCTCTCACTACTAACCTCACCTATAATAAGGGCTTTATTTCATTTTTGTAATGATTTGTGTTGTGATGCTTTGTCTCTTGATGAACATACTAATTTATCGCATGATAGTCTTATTTCCCATTAGTTTCCCTTTATATTATCCCTCCAGCAATTTTATCATCTAACCCTGAGAGTTCGATAACTACTTTTGAGATCTCTCTTCCACCTACTTCACTTGAGAATATACGAGGAAGACACAAAACCTAAATGTTTACTCGAGAAGGAACAAGACGCAAGCCTCACAATCATATGAACTAGGTACAACTATTATAGAAAACATATGATTCCACTAATCTCAATGTTCCTATTGTTCCCTTAAGTATGACTTAAGTTGAATTCTGATACCAATTAGACAACTTGCTCAATTGATACCATAATTCAGTTTAAGTCATTCCCAAAGAAAAAGTCAAGAGTTCGAATTTTGGGGATACGATAGAAATTCGTGAGAAGTAAGATGAGCATAGACTCTCTTAAAGCAGATAGTACATAAGTTAAAACTTGGGTACAGAGGTCGGGTCATTACAAAAAATGCGTGTTTTTTGTAATGCACGAGCTTTGTGCTCAACCGTTCTCTTACATATCGTCCACTCTAAGAGAGCTTGAACACATCTTACTTCTCACAGATTTCTGTCACATCCCTAGAATACGAACATATGACATCTCTTTAAAAGAGACTTGAGTTGAATCCTGACCAAGATTCAACTTATGTTATTCTTAAGGGAAATGTTTAGGGTTTGAATCTTGGGGACGCGGTAGAAATTAACGAATGCATTTTTTGCAACGATTCAGCCTCTGTGTCCAAGCCATTAATTTACGTACTGTTCGCCCTGTAAGAGTTTCAACCAATTTACCCCTCATGAAATTATATCACGTCCCCAAAATTCTAACACATGACCTCACCTTAAGAGAACTTTAAGTTGAATCCTGATACATATTTTAATTTGACAAGTTGTCCAATTGATATTAAGATTCAACTTAAGTATTTCTTTTAAGGAGATGTTATGTGTTCGAATCCTGAGGACACGACAAAATTCGTGAGGGGTAAGATTGACTCAAGTTTGCCTAGAACGGATAGTACGTAAGAGAATGGTCGGACACGAAACTCGAGTTGTTACAAAATTATTGTCGATGAGTTCATTGACGTTTAATAACTTATTGAGCAAGATAACATTTTCAGCTAACAAATAAAAAAACTTTAAAAAAGGCTACTATAGTCAGTTATTGTCCTTCATTGGAGGAAATTTAGAGAGAAAATATACATTTTTAAAAGTAAAATTTTTAATTCTTTTATAACTAGCTTTTATAATCCCAAAATACTCTTATTAGTTTATCTTTTATGTTCCTATTTATTCTCGTACGTCGACTCTATTTGTAGCTAGAATCATGCTACATGAGAAGGGCCTACTGTTCAACAAGAATTATCCTTGTAGCTATAGCATACTGGACTTGTCAACGTAGATCGGGGCCACTTATCTCTGAGCAAGGAAAGCCATAAAAGTTCAAAGATGGGACAATCAATCTTTGAAATAGGTCAATGCCATTCGAGCATTCAGTCGCACAAGCCAAAATAAAGTAGAAAATTCTTAAAGATCAACTTCTCAGGTATTTGCTGGTTTTAACACCTTGCGCTACTCAACTCTTACAAATTATGCTGCCTCTCAATCTTAGTTAAGCCATCACCTAATGATTGGCGACCGACAAATGTGGCAACATTATGGAACTTGGATGATTCCAATGAAACCCAACTCTATATTATATGGAACTTGTTTAAATGAACAACAGTGAGATTCATTCGATCCAACAACTTAAAACGTTAAATATATGAATCGTGATAAACATGTCTCTTCGCACAAAGTTGTTACTCGCTTAATTAGTATTTAGAAGCTAAATGGTCATCTTTAAAGAGACATTAGAGTATCTCCAAGAGATCCTTTAAACAAAATGATGTTTTCTTTTTTAAAGAATCAACTCTTAAAATTATACTCCAAAAAGTTCTTTAAATTATCATTTTAATTTAGAGAGTGAGTTTGGAGAGTCAAACCCAACTATCTATAACAATCATGCTATATATACATTATTGTCTATATTAAGTTTGTCATTCTAGCACACGACATTCATCACAGTTATTAATTTTTACAACACACTTTCACATCACTAGCATTTTGACACACTGGGGAAAGGTTAACACCAATGTACATATAGCTTAGTTCTCTATAATTAAATGCATTCAAAATATTTAAATTTTCAGTGGAGGAAAATGATATAATAATTTGGAGATAAGCAGTGAAAATAAAAGATAGCGAAAAATAATTAATATTTTTTTTAGAGTGGTGAAATTAAATATTAGATATAAAGAGCGTATATGAGCGCTTAATTTTTATTCTCTTTAAATTTATAGGTGCACTCTAAATTATAGAGTATACTCTTTAAAAATAGAGATTGTCTTGGATATGCTCTTAGCTCTTATATTATTTTCATTTTAACAAATAGTTTTTTCTATAAATTCCCTTGCCCTATTTTTTTTTTCCAGATTCTAACACATTCCCTCCCAATTTTTACAATCTTCATTCCCAAATGGTGCAAAAGTAGATTGGCTTGTTCAAATTCAATTGCGTTCCCATTGTTGAACCAAATATCTCAACACGATAGGTCATTGAAACGACAAATATTTAAGTTGCAATGTCTTTATCTATTTTTTAATATGAGCTTTCTTGATTGACAACTTCATTGTACACATCGACATTTAGAATCAGTTTGATTTTCATTACTCGGGAAAAAAATGAGTTTTGAATAGTATTTTTAAAAAATGGGTGGTTAAAAATAGGTGAAAGTTTTTTACCGAATGATTAGTCTTACCTCGAGGAATGCTGGTCCAAGAAAAAGAAGTTGTCTAGGAGAGGCCTACACTGTCAATTTTATTATTATTATTATTATTTTTTTTTTTTTTATGGCGTTATGCTATAATGCCAAAAATGTGACATATTTTGTGATCATTAGCAAAATTACACATACCTTTAATTTTAATGGTTTAGCCCCTGTCTGATTGCCTTAAAATTTTTAAAAAATAGTTTTAAACGATATATTTTGGAGAAATGTACGGTTAAAAAATAAGAAAAAAATTGAATTTACGTGAAGAATATTTTATTATGTGAATGTTGTTGAAAATAACTATGAAAAATAAATTAAAGTAAATTAAAAATTGTCAAACAGGGGCTTAGACAGTACGCCTTTTTTTAAAATCAATCGTGAATGAGTATCCCATCTTTCTTTTTTTGCACGTGTTCATTTTGAATTCTTATCATAAACTTTAAAAATAAAAAATAAAAAAAATGACATAGATGCCCGATTTTGTTTGACCCTCCTTACGAGTCATAACGTGCAACAAAAAGGGGCTCTTAAACTCATCGATCGACCCATCTATACTTTGACTCCAATCATGTTCTGTTCATAGGCAGTCCAGTTCCTTTTTGAACAGTTTGATCTAACACAACTTGATCCACTGTTTGCCTAACAACTCCATCTTTCCTTCTCTTCACCTCTCATCTGCAAAAAGGACGAGAATTATTGTTGAGAACTATAAGGAGAAATCTTATTTCTTCTTATTCTTCTTTTTTTTTTTTTCCTTGAAAAGAAGCTTGACATCCATCTATCCAAAGAAGTAGGGATGTAAATGAGCCGAGCCGACTAGCGAGCCAAAGGTCGAGGCTCAATCACAACTCGAGTAAAAAAAGGCTCGGGTTTTTTCTCGAATCGAAGATTGATTGAAAAATCAAGGCTTTCGGCCTGACTTGCTCATACACAGGCAGTTACACAACTACTGCCTGATACATAGGTGCCTACAGGCAGCTTTATGTGGACAATGTGTAGTTGCCTGCCTGATATACAATGAGACGGACTGTAAATGACCTGTGTCATGAGCCATTGTGGCCAGTTTACATGGGTTAGGCCGTGGGCTCCATATGAGTCGACTTGGGCTGGGGCTGATGCTTGAAAATGAAGCTTGACTTGAGCCTCGGCTCGTTTCCATCAAGCCGCGAGCCGACTCGAACTTTTCAAGGATTGACATCCTTACAAAGAAGAGTCTTTGGAGAATATGATACTGTGGTGAAAAAAAAAATGAAAACAATTTTGACTACATAAAAATGATTTTGAGTGAGTCAAGTCAATTTTAAACGAGTCAAATTAATCTTGATCTATAGATGAGTTTAAAAAAGAAACTACTACAAGATGTTACCAAGAAGAAATTTAAAACCACTCTCATGGTGTTTTTTAGAGAACAAAACTTTTTACCATGAATTACAAGACCGTTTTGGGAAATTACTAATTACAGCCCGAAAACGATCCTGAATCCTCCGCACGCCCCCAGTTATCTTGTGATAAAACACTTCACCACGTCTTCGGATAGAAACCCCTCCCCGCCATGTCAGCTACCGCCCATTCTTGTTCCCCCTCCCCCATTTTCTCACCACTATTACTTAATTTTTTCTTCATAATCCATTTTTTATCCCCAAACACTTTTTGCTAAATTTTCCTCTAAATTTTTTCAGCCTAAAATTTCTCATCCATGTCACTTAAGCTGCACCATCAGAATCTCGTCTCCGGCAGGTGAATTCTGTTCTCACTTTCTCTGCGGCCCGTGCGGATATGCACAATTTGAGATTATTTTTAGTTTCCTTTTTTACCGTTTTGATAATTTAGTATTGATTTTCTTTTTTTGGCAGTTAGTTTAGTTCATAAGCATAATTAATGTGAAAATTTACTGTTAATCTAATTTTAGATGTTTCTGTTTAGAAATAGTAATGCAGTCAATCTATAAAAGAAATCCAGATTACTTGTAATATATTTCTGATTCTTTTTTAAGTGGATGAATTTTGATGTCGCTTGTGTTTAGTCTAGTTTGAGAAATTGTTGATTGATCACAAATTCTGATTTATTACTTTTCACATAGATTTTATACCGAGGAGCGAGCTTCTTGGCACAATTAAATGATTTATTTCAAACACACTTGAATTAGCAGTAGTCGGTGATATTATATCCAAGAAATAGAGAAAGATGCTTAAAAAATATCAGCAGTTTCTCAGTGGGGTAGGAAATCACACGAAGAAAAAGGGAGCTGGAAGTATGATAGTCATGATCGTATTTGGAACTTGGTTTGGAAGTTGATGCTTGATTCTCTAAATAGAATGCACAATGCAGGGGAAATTTTTGTGGCTATTTGTTTCCCTAGCAATCAAATGCTGTTTTTGTGACTATCTCAAACTTACTACAAGGAGTGGTTTTATAGCACTCATTTTCAAGCCATCTTGTAAATAGAAAATGAAAAAATAAGAGAACAAGTAGAATGGCCAGTCTTGCTGCATGGTTTTGATAAAGGTTAGATGGAACTAGGCAATTAGGAACTAACTTTCCATTAAATCTATCCTACACGTGGTTCAGTCTCCAATTTGGAAGATAAACATGTAATCCTTTTGCATTGTGACTAAATACACACAAGAAAATTTTATGATACTCCTATCAAAAAAAAATTTATGATACTCATTCAGAAACATATTCCCAAGCACATTCAAAAATTGTAGATACTTTTTTATTTCTATTAGTGATAAATACCTTGTAAAAAAGGCAAGTACTTGTGATGCATGATAATCAGATGCACCTTAAACCAAAAGTCCAAATATGCTACAGCAGATGTTAGCTATGTGAAGAAGCATAACGTGGAGTTTTGACATTGAAATTTTGGTTGTAAATTAAACCCATATAGAATACTATAGAATTCTAAGAAAAATTGTTAGGATATCTGGTGAACACAACATGATAATAGACAAATCTGGCATAAGAATCTAGTGAAACTCAATGTAGTATATTAGTCATTGGTTCCGTTCGGAGCTACCGATAAATTTTAATATTTTGTGGATTGGTGACCCTAAGATTTAAGTTTAGACAAGCGTGATTCTTTCTTTTACCGTTTTGTAGAAATGATAAACTTGGTTCCTTCTCATGAGAGAAGGGGTACATCGCATCCCCTTGTTTTATTCTTCTGTAGTTGTGGTTTAGTTTTTGCCTCTTTGGTAGATATTCCACGTGTTGGAGACTTGTGCTCTCTTTCTAAAAGGTTGGACACGGATTGGATGTCGTAATAGTGTCAAATATGGGTATTGCATGGTAACCCAATTGTTATATTGACCTGGCCCCGGAAGGAGGCTGGGGCATGGTGGGTCACACGCCCCCACTAATTTTTGATTTTTACTTTTTCTCTGTGTGTAAAAGTCACATAAAAGGATAAAAGAAGAGGTAAAAATAGATAAAATGCTTAAGAGACTAAAAAAATTGCACCTGGTGCATGAGCATAGGATAGAATGACATTCTCCTTGACTAAAAAAATTGCACCTGGAGATTACATATGCATTTCCATGACATTTAGTATTAGGTAATCAATAGGCTGATGGTAATAACTTATAATTTTAAATTTTTATCTCTTTAACCAAAATTCAAAGTGATAGAGAAAAATAGTTTGGATTACATTTATAATTTGTTTTCATTGTCCGATTCATGTTCAAGAATATTTTTGAATTTTATATATTGAATTGTGTCAAATTGATTTAGAATAGGTTTGAAATGATTTTTGAATTTTTTATATAGAATGGTTCTAGAATGATTATGTCTAATTTAGCTTACATTTATTGAATTGTATTTATTTGAATTGATAATTAGCATTGAATACTTGTTGTATATTTCTCTTTTTGATTACTTGGATTGATTATTTTAATTGATTGTTTGTATCAGTTATAGGCATTCTTTATACGTAAATTTGCATTTTCTTGCGTTTTTGTGTTTACATTGATTATTTGTATCAATTATGGAACGTTATGTAAGTATGAAAACGTGTAGAGTACAATTGTAATAAGACATCGATTATTTTTACAATTTTCGCAACTCTTTTGCAAATTGAATTGTCCCCCTAATTCAAAATGTTTGCATCCGCCACTGTGTGGCCCAAAGTAATATGTTATGATACAATGATCTTTTCCCTTTCCAGTGGAATCAAATGAGTTAGACCAGTTCAGTTGGTTAATCAGTCAATTTCAATGCTATTAAATTATAGCATGATGGATGTTTCATTCAGGAATTATTAAGCATTGTTTCTTGTTTATGGGCATTTGTGCGAGTGGGTACATACTGCTGATAGAGGTTTCCTTATCAAGTACTTTTTGGTTCATTCCGTGCATATGCTCATTTTTGAATTTCTCTTTTTGCAGCTCTTCAAGGTCATTGGTTGCAGTTAAACCAATCAGAACTTGTTTCTTTAATAGAAGGGTGGTTAGCTTGGATCACCTGCTATTCAACCGTTGTTATACAAGGAAGAAAAGTCGTGTAAGGCTTTCCCTTCCTGAAAGCAGTGAACTTAGTTTTATCTGCAGATTGCCTCGATTTAGCAAACAATCCATTTGTAGCTTAACAACGACAGATCATCTACTACCTCGTGCTTCTGCTGATGATAACACGATGGTTAATGGAAGTCCACAAGCAAGAATGGGCAGTAATGTTGAGGAAATGAGATTCAAACTAAATCAGTCTTTGCAGGGTGAAGACTACGATACTGGTCTTGTCCAGTCATTACATGATTCTGCAAGGGTATTTGAGCTGGCTATTAAACAACATAAGTCTTTCTCAAAGATTTCCTGGTTCTCGACTGCGTGGCTTGGTGTGGACAAAGCTGCTTGGGTTAAAGTACTATCTTATCAGGTTAGTCACAGATTTGCAATTCATTAAGTTGGAATACAAGTAGCCTTTTCGTTTGCTTTAGTATAGTTGTGACACCGCGGATCTTAAATTCCTTAGTTTTACTAAACCTTACTTAAGAGTTCCAATTAATAAAGCAAAATTGGTATGGGATCTTCGACACAATAAAAAGTCTAATGTTTAAAAAAACCGTTAATAATAATTAACCAATCTTTTCAAAGGAAAGTCGCAGGTTCAATAAGTCTAACTTAAAGAGGAAAAGGAAATGTCCGAAAAGACAATCACTTAAAACCATAATCAGAAAAAATATTCCATGAGCATATTTAATGATTCCTGTAAGATGTCCTCTCCTTTGATCGCCTCGAACTGCTAGTTACTCCATAAAGGAGAAAAGGAGGGGGTGAGACAACATTAATAAGTATGCACCGTAACTATGTAAATCTTGTTAAAATTTCGAAAATGAATCATATCATACATAAATGAGACACAATAAAAAACCAATCTTAGGTGGCAGAGATTTCTTGTGTAAAGCGCTACAAAAGTCCAGTTCTCTTAAGTATTCACATAGGACTCATGAATTTTATCCCAAAAATAATAACATGGACAAAAATATGTAACACACTTGCCTTGCTTGAAACTAATAAGTTGCGTGGAAATTCCTTGGAACAACTCAATTTTTGTTAGAGCTGGACATGGTCCGATTCTATTTGGTTCCAAAGAGATCGAACCAAATCAGAATTTTCAAGTATTTAGTAAGTGGTACCGTCATGTTCAAAAGTTCAAATTTAATTATGGAGTTCAGTTCGATTTCATTTGGTTCCATGCTATAATGAATTTTTTTAATATTTACAACAATACTACATTAATTTAACTGATAACATGTTCAATTTTAACTCTTATAAAACAATATAGTCCAATTTATAAATAAACAAATAACAAGTTGTCTAATAAGATCCATTTACCAATATATACAAATTATCAAAAGGTAAATAATAACACTAAAATATCAGTGATTCCATTTTATTGATTCCTTTTCTTCAAGCCTTCAAATCTATACAAAAAAAAAATTGAAATATAAATTAGAAGTTATAAAAATAAAGCATTTTTAAGTATTGTCAGTACTTACTAACCATTTAAATTAATCATCTATTACTTGACTTGTCACTCTAAGAAACTCTACAAGAAATAATTGAAAATGCACAATTAACAAACATAAATAAATAAAAATTTGTCCCATCAATAGGATTTAGTATGAAAAATAATGTATTTTATTACTTGTCCCAATGTTCTCATAGAACTTCGTCTCTTCGGTACAAACTCTATCTTGTATAATTATTATAAAGGAGTGAGATAGAAGTTTATATTGATGAAAGTGGAGGAAATTCAATGAATAGGACACAAAAAAGGTAAGATGAACAGAGGCGCAACCGCTCAGCTTCGATTATTTGAGAAACAGCAGAATGAGAAAAACTTAGGTAACTCAATTTTGATTATTTGAAATTTGAATTACAAAGTTGGGCTTGGGCTGAAAACAGGAAAATGATATTTTGGATTTAATTAATTAGTTGGCGAATTTATTTAGGAAAAAATTAAAATAATTTGGTTTGTTTAATATATAAAAATTAAAAAAAATCTGCAGATTCGGTTCTTCGGTTCTTGGTCTAGAATCGAAAATCGAATTAAACCCATCGGTTCTCGATTCTAATACCCAATCGGGTATTTAATTTAAGAAGAACTGAACTAAACTGCTCAATTCGGTTCGGTTCGGTTCGGTTCGGGAGTTTTGTTCTACTCTAATTTTTGTCCTTGATTTGATTACATAAAAAGTACTTTAGTGGGGGTACTTTTTTGTTAGTGTGACGACGTGTATGAGAAAAGGGAAAAATGAGAGAGGTAAAAGTGTGTTTTGAGTGAATGCCGTGTGTAGTATGTATTCATAGGGATATGTTTGGTTTTGGGTTTGGTATTAGTTTTTGCATGGTAACTGCTGATTTTATTATATTGCTAATTCCATGCAAGACAAAATCTTTCCCTTATAAATATATGATTTTATACTCATATGTGATTATATATGAAAGTGATGAATATTTATACGTAGGTTGCATTAGTTCTTGAAGTTTGTCCGGAGTGCACTTTGTTATTCATTTTCCAGTGTTTTACTCTCTCTAAGGTGGCTAATGATTTATAAATTTCTTCAGGCATCTGTTTATTCCCTGCTACAAGCGGCAAGTGAGATTTCATCTCAAGGAGATGGAAGAGATAGAGATATTAACGTCTTTGTGCAGAAGAGGTATAAGCATTATTTCAAAATAGAAACCAATAGCGTCAATAGAAGCATTTAACATGTTCATTAGTAACACCTAAAATAAAAATACCACGCTTTTTTAGTTTAGTACATTGTGAACTCACCATTAAGTTAAGAATTAATGAAATAGTTTAACACTGCTCAACCTATCTAGCTTCTCTAGCAGAATTCAACATCGCATATAAACAGCAATTTCTTTCCTTGTAATCTTGAGGAAATTGTTTAACATCAGAAAGGGGGAATTAAAGAATTTAATTTAGTAAAAAAGTGCACTTTGGAAGTTAGATGGATGTAATTTCCGTCTAATGGATCATCCATTTGGGATAATTGAGCATTTTCCTTTAATAGGAGATATTATTCTTCTATTAGTGCAATTGACCATACATCTGACATCCCACTTTCTCCTGTTTGGTTTGCTGCACTTAACGATAACAACTTGTCATGTATGGACTTCAACCTTCTCTAAAGATCAAGTACAAAAGCTACCCTACGATGTACCTAATCTTGTTAAATTGTGCTAGGGAACTAATACAGATGAGATGATAAATAGGGAAAGTGGAGGAAGAATGAAAGAAGAGGAATTTTCTGTTGTATATATAGAAAAAAGCCTATTGATAGTAATGAAAGCACTAAATATGGGTGTAGTCCTGGTCTATGGCGCCAATTATGACCGCATAACTGACACATGCATAGATACTGTTTATTAATTAAGCCTGCAGATCATCGAGGATGTTGCCTTTGACATTATATTATTACGCTGATAAAAGCACCAAGTGGCAGAGGATTCTATGTAAATGCCCCTAAAATGTATGAAAACAGAGTTACTGTAGTATAATCTCTATAAATTTGTATGGTTGCGACTGAGAAATTTTATTATATTGTGATAGAGTTTATTAATTTGTAGAGGATTAATTTAGCCCATTATTCCAAGTTCGGATTGGGAAATTTTATTGTATGATAGAGAATTAATCCATAGAGGTTATACTGTAGCATGTAAAATTGGCATTGCAAGGGATTATTTCAAGTATTCTCTAATACCGTGAGTAGAGTAAGGGAGGGAATTTTTGACTTAATCTCCTTTAGGTTTTTGACTGATGGATTAAAAGCTTTTATAGGGGTTTCAAGATTTGAACCTGGCTTCAAATTTTTTGAGTATTGGAGGAGAGATGATTTTTGTGTTATTGCATTTTAACACCTGTATGTAAAAGTGCATTGACAGAATACTCTCTCTAATATGGTTTTCCACCCTTTGGTCACTGAGAAAACAGAAACTTGTTTCTTTCTTGGAGGCATAGTGTAAAATGTCTAAGCTTTGATGCACCTTGATGTTGTTAAATGACAGAACAAGAGAAAACAGTGAAAAGAGGAATATTCTTTGACTTGGTTTTATTATCATTATAATGTGCTCCTGTCTATAAAACAAGGTTTTCATAATAATAATAGCAATGAACAGTGTCCTAGTCCCCATGCATGGCACCAAGTATTTACATGGAATCAAGAATGAAAATAGCACTGTTAATTACTTAATTAGCTTGTGCATTGTTTGCTTGAAATCGCAAGTGCACGTTACCATTAACAAGTAATAAAGCGTATGAATCAAGTATCATTGCCTCGAGAATTGTGTTTTGAAACATAATCCTAGCTTTAACTGAATGATCAAATTTTGATGATGGATGATTGTATTAACTAAAATTTTAACTAAACGAAGCTTAAAATCATGTTGTGACAAATGCTGAGAAAATTCAAATTGTTAAAGGTACTAGGAGCATGTTTCGGAAGTGATTTTTTATAATTGTTTTTGGTCAAACATACTTTTTTTTTAACACATTTATTAGGTTTCACAACTACAACCACTTATTATCCACACATTCCGTTGGATCCATTGTTTATAATCACTTAAATTTTAATTTATTCAGTTACCAAACATACACTAGGACTAAGATTCACTTACTTATCCACTTTAATTCATACAGTCATTTGACAATATTAGTTTTTGTTGATATTTAAAGTCCTTAAATTATATAACAGTCTTTCTCGAGTTGAGCTAGACATATGTCTATAGGAGAATTTAGGACAACTTCGTGCTCATCTGGGAGATGCTTCGGTTGAGAATAAAAGTATTGAAGCCTTGGATTTTCTGTTCTTCTGATTTTGCTTGAAGCTAATTTCACTCGGGCGTAATTTTATTGCAGCAAGGGTCTTTCTTTCGCTCAAGCGAATGAATTAGATCCAAACTGAGTTTCTCATAATCTTTTCATCTATGGCCTTTGAAGAATTCACTTTCAAACTTTCACGCTCACATCTAAATGCTTAATTATTTTCGTTTTCATCAATTTTATCTTCAATGTACTCTAAGCTCGGGTTTCTTCCTAAAACAACTAAAACGACCCAAAATCTATAATAATCGACCCTGACCCAGTAAAAAATTATTGTAAAAGGTCGAGACGAGTGTAAATATTACACTTGTCGTACATCATATCCTCTCTGATAGTCCAACCATTAGTTGAGCAGTTGCTTTCTTTGATGCTTGAGCAAGTGAAGTTTTGGGTTGGAACCTGTTCAGAATACTACCGCATGCTTGTTTATTTGAAAAGAAGTAGGTCTGCTAACGAGTGCAGGAGGATGTAGTTAAAGGTTACATATCCTCTTAATCATTAAATGCATTTGGATGAGTCAGGATGAGTAAATAATTCAACAACTGTACATATACTCCTATGGCCAAGTTGCATCTTTAAGTTTAGATTGTTTAGTATGTCACTGCAACCTTAAGGTTGCTAACGATTGTGTAAATGCCCAAGAAGTTTTTGACTATGTAGCCTAAGCCTTTTAGTTACAGGAATTGTTTGATTAAAGAAATAGAATAAGGTGGACCCCTTTTAGATTTTTGGGTTATTGTTGGTTACCATCATTCCACTTTTAACATATCTGTTCTTCAGTAGACATATCATTACGTTGGTTAGGTATCATTAAAAATATCTGGTCTTCAGTTGTGGTTTACCAGGAAGACTTAGTTTTTATTCTATTATTTTTAAAAGATATTTTTAATGATTCTACCACTGTGTTGATGTAGTCTATCTCGGCAATGTGCTCCTCTGGAGAATATTATTAAAGAGAAGTTATTAGATAAACAACCTGAAGCTTATGAATGGTTTTGGTCTGAGCAAATCCCAGTTGCAGTGACCAACTTTGTTGATAATTTTGAAAAGGACCAACGCTTTGCCACTGCTACTGAAACGTGAGTAATTTACCTCCGTATTACGTGCACTAGCACACATTTATTTAGATCCATATGCAGACATATATTTTTAAGCTGTCACCAATATAATCACTGGTTCTCTCTTTCAGATTCAGAAAAGGCCTGTCCTCAGTTTCCGGAAGTCCAAGTGACATATCGCTTCTTATGCTTGCACTTAGTTGCATTGCGGCAATTACCAAACTTGGCCCTGCAAAAGTTTCTTGTGCTCCATTTTTTTCCATTATTCCGGACATAACAGGCAGATTGATGGATATGCTGGTTGAATTTGTTCCTATTCGCCAAGTGTACCATTCAATAAAAGAAATTGGCTTACGCAGAGAATTTCTTGTCCATTTTGGTCCTCGAGCTGCTGCATGTAGAATCAAGAATGATTTGGGTGCAGAAGAGATTATGTTTTGGGTGGGTCTTATACAGAAACAACTACGGAGAGCTATAGATCGGGAGAAAATTTGGTCAAGACTCACCACATGTGAAAGTATCGAGGTTATCTCTGAAGTCTTTTTTATTTGTGTTACAGTTTTCCAGATCTTATTGATCTGCAAACCACCAGGAATCCACTACTTCCACACACCTGTTTTGGTGCTAGAACTAGAAATCACACCCAAAGTTTTTAACTATTTGTCACACGGAATACCTGTCAGCATATTAGGGCATCCTTAGATTTTTGACGATGAGTACTCCTTACTTGATAGAAAAAAGATGTATATGTTCATATCATTAAACATAGTTTAACCAAGAGGTGATTGAACAACTAGTGTTGTTCAAATTTATCGTTTTCAATGGTAATAAGCATTTTTCTTTTCTCCATTCGTGTTGTTTGCACAGAGGAGTCCCTAAATATTACCAAAATTTCTTGAAATTCAAAGAGAACTTATTATGACTTCTGCCTCCTGTTGGCAGAATTTGCCTCGGCATTCTGAACTTTGAAATGTGCTTTCAGGGTTTCAGCATTTGGTGCACTTTAATATAGCTTGAAGAATGATTTAGACGGCATTAGCCTCATTCATCCTTTCTTTATAGGCTTATAAGTACAGGGGTTGATATTCCACTTAAATCTTATGGAACAATTACTGCTTATGAATTGGAGAGCTTAGGGTTATGAGCTATTGCTTTCTACTTATGCACAGAGTTGACGTGTTACTTCATTGCTCTGTTTGAAACTGTTTCTGATATCTTATAGGTTTTGGAGAAGGATTTGGCTATATTTGGGTTTTTCATTGCCTTAGGGAGAAGCACACAATTCTATCTATCTATAAATGGTTTTGACATTGCTGATGAGCCCATCAAAGGATTTATACGGTATGGTTTCTAATGAAGAGGTTGCTTCCCGTTTTATCTTACTCATTGCTGAAGTCATTTTCTATACTCTATAATCCCCTGAATACAGGTACTTAATTGGGGGCAGTGTGCTATATTATCCTCAGCTTTCATCTATTAGTGCTTATCAACTTTATGTGGAGGTTAGCATGAAAAGTGAAGTTGTACTAAGAAAAATTTACGTGGTTGAAAAAATTGACAACCTTTGGCTTGATAGGTTGTGTGTGAAGAACTGGACTGGCTTCCTTTCTATCCAGGCTGCAGCAGTACCTCCAAGCGTACTCCTGGGCACAAAAATAGAGAAGGTCCCCCCAATACCGAAGCAATTCACCTAGTATTGGATGTGTGCTCTTACTGGATCCAGAGTTTTATTAAGTACAGCAAATGGCTGGAGAATCCCTCTAATGTTAAGGCAGCTCGATTTCTTTCCAAAGGGTATACCTTTATATTTTTGAAGTCCTTTATTCAGATTCCGTAATCTGCGCTCTGAAAAATGTGGTTCTGTGTTCACTTTTCAGGCATGACAAGTTAAAAATGTGTGTGCAAGAACTGGGGATACAGAAGTAAGTTGAAGGAGGGAAATATATGTTCTAAATCCATTTTTAATATCTGTGTGTGTGTTTCAAACAGGACACCTATTTTTCTGTTTACTGGAGACTAATAGCATACGGAATTCTTGTAGCATTGATTAACATAAAATATACACATGTTAAAGTTAATCCCTGTTGTTTAGACCAAGGTTGACATTGGGAATAGAAAAAGAGGGTTTCAATGTAATCTTTGTTGAATTATGGTTTAGCTCACAGAAAATCATTAAGATTGTCCTGGGGAAATGTTCATAAAGGAAAACCATGCTTGTTGGACTCCTCATAAACTAACTACTTCCATGATTTGTGGCTTTAACATCATTATCCTGGATTGGATAACTGTCATTTTGTATAATTTTTATGAGGTTCTCTTTAAATGGTATAAAGAATTTCAGAATGTTTGATTTATTTCAGAATTCTGTTTCCATTTAAAATTTATGGCTCCTTTTTTTACTTCAGTATTTCCTTGTTACAAATTAAAGCAGATGAACATTTTTGATATAAGAAAGGACTCTGAGCTGGTAAAATGTGTTCTTATGAATAATTTCTTACCTGTCCATTATATTCTTGAATAATTTGAAACTACCTAAGTGAAGCTGTTCTTGGTCTGTTGCGTTTTCTTTCATTTCAATTATTAGGCATCGACAGGCTCTAGGACTGGTCATTTTGGGCTTTTAGGGCCTGCTTGGGAGTTTTTTTTTTCACCCGTTTTGACGAGTTTTGGGTGGCACCAGTTATGAGGGGTTAGAAAAACCGGTACTTGCTAGTTTTTTTGGGCACCAGTTTTGGATGGTTTAAAAACAAACCAAAATCAGTGGTGTAATTGACAGGTTCTCTCAACTCACCAAATCGGCAGGTTTTGGTAGTTCTCATTCTTTTTTAATTTTGCTCTTTATAAAATAATTATTTTCAACCAACATATTTTCTTCAGAACTAATTTGTAAAAAAAAATATATTAACTAAAAAATTATTTATAAGCAAAAAATTACATTATAATTAAAAAAATGCTTATAAGTAAAATAATAAGAAAAATTACTTAATAATTAAAAAATCTCTTATAAGTAGAAAAAAATTGTTTATAAAATAAAAATACTACTAATAAATAAAAATTCACTTATAAAATATAAATTACTTACAAATATAAAATCTACTTATAATCGTAAAATTTACTTATATGTAAAGAATATTAACAAGATTTTAAGTAAATATTTAACTTTATTAAATTAAATATTAATTTATATGTAAAAAAAATTACCTTTAAGTAAAATATCACTTATGAGGAAAAAGTTTCATAGAAGAAACAATAAACTAAATTTTTTACTAAGAGACATATATGTAATTTTATATTTTTAAAAAACTTCCAAAATCAGTGAATAATAAACTCCCAAGCATTTGTGCAGTTTTAAAAACCGCTACTAAAATCACTCAAAACTGAACAGCTCATAAATATTCAAAATCGGTACTTTAAAAAATGCTAATAACCGTTACGCCAAAACTCCCAAGCAGGCCCTTAATAATCAAACTTACAGCTGCTGCTTAGGTCATATGTAAGTGGAGAGAAGGTGCAGTGTAACAGCTGGCAACCCACTTGATGCCCGTATCATTAGTGTGATTTGTGCATGCTTATGCAATAAACTAATTTTGTTAATAACAATTGCTTAGGCAATTGTCCAAATTCCAATCTTGGGCTGACTAGCCACAAGTTGGTGTCCAAATTCCAATCTTGCTTGACTAGCCCACAAGGTTATTGTTGCAAGTGTGTGTTCATGAAAAGGAGAGATGGTTGGCATCTCCCCCGACAGGGATGGGAACGGCCTTCGGGCTTTACCTGTTATGTACACATCCGGTTAAGGCTACCCACTTTGGTGGATTACTAACCCAATTTTATGATTACTTATCAAAAAAAAGGTTATTGTTGCAAGTGTGGGGGCTGCCCCTCTTTAAATACAAGGCCAGAGGTTAGATCCATTGTTGCCTTCTCTGCTTTGCAATCGAGGCCAATGGTAAAAAGACAATGAATGTGTAATTTTATTGTTTCTAATTGGAAGAGACGTGAACAAGTTAATAGTGTACTCTGCACTCTAGTAGGATTCCAGGTATTGGAAGTTACTCTTGCTAAGGGTTGATCCGAGCGTTACATGTTATTAACTTGGTCTTCACATGCAAAATGTAATTGCTATTAATAAACCGGTGAATAGCAGATTTAAAGTTTTGATGCAGACGATAAAAATTAATATTCAAATGTTTTTTACAGGACTGGATCTGGAAATTATTTACCACTCAAGAAAGAGTTGGATTCGTTTGATAAGGTATTTGCATCTGCAGTAAATGAATTCCCTCTAGAATGGTTTATACCTTTTCTATACAAGCATTTGGGTGGAATATTAGTTTTTTGAATGCAAGTTCTGTAAGTTATAGATCATGCACCTTATGCAATTCAGCAAGGTATTGGTTATTGATAGATAATAAACTGATTAGTGAAAAAGTATTCCTGCTACCTGTTTCCTTTTGTATGCATGACTGCATAACTTTATGTGAAGATCCAGAGACTGAAACATGATGTTTGTTTGTTTTGTTAACTGCAGACTTCAATAGGAAATTTGAGTTCTCTCAAACAAGTTTCATATGTTTCAAGTTCTTTGCATTTATGAGATCATGAGAATTGTCATTCTATACCTTCTGGTCTGATGATTCCTGTATTCTATATTGAACAACTTTCTCTATCAACATCTTTGCTTTACTGATTTATGTAGTGGCATTAGTCCACACAGTTACTTTTGTGGTATAACAACTGAAACCATTCTAGTGGAGCAGTGACACTTACATTTTCTTTTAGGCACTAGGGAGTGTTGAAGAAGCTCTTTTAAGGCTTGAAGACTTGCTTCAGGAGCTACATGTGAAAAGCTCTAGTTCTGGAAAGGAGCACTTAAAAGCTGCATGTTCCGACCTTGAAAGGATACGAAGACTAAAGAAAGAAGCTGAATTTCTCGAGGCATCTTTCAGAGCTAAGGCAGCTTCTCTTCAGCAGGTGTATATTTATTTTCAGTGGCATGTGCCTCTGATACTTTACTCAACATTGGAGTTCAAAATTATCACTGGTACTCTTAGTTCTGATTTATTCATTCTGTTTTCTTATGGAAGGAATGCCTGAGATGCTATTTCTTGATCTATATAACATATCCAGGATTTATTTTTCCTATTGTTTATGTGATCACGATATCGAGATTTTCTCTTGCTTGTTTTGTTGTTACTTTTTATGTTACCACACGAAACAAATAATGATAAAGAAGTAACTTTTTTCACCGCACTAGAGTAAAATCCATTTAGATAAATTAAGCAAGTGGAATAATACCTAGACAAATAAACAGAAACTGGTTTATCTTTCCCTTTGCATTACTGGATCTATCTTCTTCTGCAAATATAAATCTAGGTTGGAATATGTTTAACAATAAATTCTCGTAAATTTTTTATCTGTATCTGATCATTTTAGATTTTTTTTCTCGATGTTCCCTGATTTTCTAATTAGTAATATTCATTTCCAATGTGGGTGTGCCAGCCACTCAAACAATTGAATATCAGGTTAATGTGCTTTGACTGACATCAAGAACTGACCTCCGTACAAATTAGGGATATAGATTCTACTGTTTCATTTTCATTCTTATTGATAGTTGTAATACATCAAATAGGGAAGTGCTAAAGCATAGATAACTTAAATAATAGACTGAGAGAAGGATGTTTATAGGATGGTGATGGGATGACGGAGAAGTCTAATGTTTATTTCTGATGTCATTTGATATAAATCTAATTTTACATTAATTATCTAATTTATCTTTGATGTTGAAGACAAAAATTTGTCCCCTCACTAACAACTTGAGCTTTTAGATTAAGTGCTTCAATATGGTTTCAACATAGGTAATCTTGATTTCGAAGTCATGATGGACTTGGTCAGCCATAGCTTCTTGTGTCATTCTGGAATGGGGTAGAAAAGAAAAGGGGATCTGTTGGTAAAAAGAAAATGCTGAGAGCCTCGGCTCTCACTTCAGCATAAAGAAACATCTCTATACTGAAATCTGTCTTAGACTACTCTAAGTCCATTTTTATCAGATTTGTGATTTGTCACCATATACCTAAATATTTCAGCAATATAAGTAACTAATTATTCGTATTTACGTCTGAGGATGGGCTACCGTCAAATTACTTAAACTCCTCCAACTATCAGCCTTACAAAATTATTCACATCTAAAAGGAGAAAATTGGAATGTCATTTTTGTCCAAAAATAAACGTATTAGATCAGTGTTTTGAAACCTACTAAGAAATAATTTTGGACTAAACAGGGAAAACAAGAAAATGAAATCAGAATGAAAACAGACCTCATGAGTTACAGGAGCATAGGTTTCCACTTTTTGTCTCATTGAGTTAGTTGAGGCGTCATTGCTCTGCTCATGGTTGTTTGTTGGAGCACACATTTAACTCTCTTGGCAAAATTTCTATATTGAGTTTAGGTTCTCAAGCTGCAATTTATGCATAAGCTGTAGCCTGTAGTACCTATGGCATATGTAAGATATCTATCATGTATTGCAGAACAAGCTACTGGAAAGAATGAGTTCTGAGAAGACTCACCCAAGCACAATGCAGTATTATTTATAAGTTGCTCCCAAGTGGGAGCAATCATAACACTCGTGTAATTTATGTAGGGTCTTCAGATCCATGTATCTGTACCTTATGATGATGAGATGAACACATGATTTTCAATTTATTTTCTTCTGATTTGGCTTCTGTTTGATCTACTAGGGAGATGATGTCAGTAGTTTAACCTCTCCAACTAGTGAGCAACATCAATATTCTAGAGGACAAGGCAGCAAAGGTGCTAATATGAAAATGGATAGGAGCAGCAGGTATTTAGGCTTCTCAGATGTTTTCAAGCTCTTACCTCATGTTGCTCTTCATCACTATATTTTGTTTCTTTTCGTAGATTTGTTTACTTCAATTTCTTTCATTTTGCTGATAAATATCTTCCTTTTAGGGTAAGCAATCCTCGCGGACTATGGAATATTCTAGCATACCTCCCAGGAAAATCATCTGACACTGGTTCATCAACTGCAATTGAAAATGTATGGCATTCAATGGACTCTATAGCTCTTCCTCTACTTGTATATTCATTTGTTTGCCTTCTGCAAGTTTTCCTCATAGGGGGCACAAGAAATGTGATATTGATGTGCTATTTAATTTATGGATATTGCATTATGGTTAGTTTCGTGTTGTGTGTCTCAACCTACTGGTTATTTATTAATTTCTCAGTTATTTACAGTGCAGCTTCTGGTTGTTCATTGCTTAGATTCCTTCGAACTTCTGAAAGCTGCTGCAAGTTCAAACTTGGAGACATCATAATATTTCTCTGACTCAAAACTGACTACGTATCTAGTCTGATCACTTATTGTCTCTGAAGACTAGGTTTAGCCTTTGATATTAATATGTGAAGTTGCTTTGATACTATCTGTCAATGTATCTATTACTGTCTTACATCTAATTGGGCTTAAACTGATGGCATTAGTTTTAAATTTTGATTCACATATATCTTATTGTCTGACTTTGTCAAATTGGGATGGCAAAATAATTCTGTATCAATTTGGAAATATGAAATTTATGTTCACGTTATGCAATACTGATTGTGCTGGAGGATTGATATTCTGATGTACCCCACTGTGTCTTTCTGATGAGAATGACATTTTGCTAATTTACTGAATTTTTCAGGAAATTTGTAATGCTGTCAAAGATTTTCTGCCTTTTGAGTTATGACTTATGAGTAGTTGAAAATATTTTTCTTTATTTTTTATTTTTTGGGGTGGTCTCTTTGCAGGATGGTGGATACCATGAACAGGAAATTGTGGACTCGGAATCCAATGAAATTCAACGGTTTGAACTCTTAAGGAGTGAACTAATAGAACTGGAGAAACGAGTTCAAAAGAGCACTGATCAGTATGAATATGATGAGGTACATTTTTACCTTCTATTACTTTCAAGAATAACTAAACTATTATGCCTCATATTAGGCCCCATTTCTCCTCTCTTTTGCGATGATAACTGGCTTAATTTTTCTTAATGAGTAAGCCTTCATCCATCGCGGTTTTACTTTGCGCAATCAAGAGTAAGAATACAATTGTAGGGTTAAATGATCACGAGGATAATTTAGGTCCAATTAAACTGGTTAGACAACAATCTTTCTCCCATGGGTCATTTATTTTCCATTTTTTTCTGAAAAACTTTGCATGACTGTTCACGAGGATGTGGAAGCCGAACAAACAGTAAAAAAGCCATCATCTTTTATACTAAGGAATAATTATGCATATACCACATCTTATCTTCATTTTATGGTTCAGATAAGGACTCACTTGTATATGGTCTTAACTTGGATTTGTTAAGTTTCTTACTTTCTGTAGCAGAGTAAGAGCACATGAAAGAGCTCTGTATGTTATTGTTGAAGACTAAATTTATATAAATAAATGCGTTCCCTCTCTAAAAGCTTAAGCTTTTAGTTCAACATGAAATTATAGGAGACATTAGGCGTGGGTTCAAGTCTCGCAGCTATGCTTAATAATAATGGTGCATTTGACAAAAATGGAATCCGAGCTTGTTGAAGACTAATAAATATTTATGTCTATTCTCTAAAAGCTTAAGCTTTAGGTAGTAGTGAAACAAATACTATGAACTTAGTAATTTTGTATTCATTGTTTGACTTTGCTCCACCAAGCTTGATGGCCATGTACTTTTGTTATAACACACCCATATATAGTTGGATGTTGTTATGAGAAAACTTAATCAGGCTTTGGACTGGTGAGATATTGTGTGAAGATTCTCTGTCTGGACGAGCTCTTATGAGACATTAGTGTCCATCTAGGTGACTTGTACTGCAAATTACACACCGTGCCAGACTATGGCAGGGAATTTTGACTCTCTGGTATAAATATAGACAATAATCATGACGATGTTCTGCAACAGATGTAATTTCTTTTAGGTTCATAAAATAAAGACCCTGAGTTTTTTTCCCACTCTGAGCAGTTTGTTTTCGCTTTCTTTTTCATTTTCCAATATCAAATACAGTATACTCACATATACTGGTACAGAAACCAACATGTAACCTACACAATGGAAGGATTAGAACTTGAGACCTCTTGGTCCCAGAATCCAGGGCCTTAAATCTGTCAGTTATTCAGGCCCCTTTATTGATCATCAGGTCTGCCTTTCAAGCTTGCAAGAATAGTGGATTTGGTGTGATAATGCTATAACCTTTTTTGCTGATAGTAGTTAGGAACTCACATCTCTGCTCAACTATGGCTCCTATTTCTCAGAGATTCTTTCAACTCATTTTCAACCATTTTATTCTCCAATAAAAATAATTTTGCATAACTTTTCCCTACTTTTTAATCTTGGTATCCAAAAAAAAAAAAATCACTTTTCACAAAATCTATTATCAAAAAATCTATATTAAACAAGATCTTAATTTGTTTAAGAGCGAGTTTTTTTTCTCTTTCACTGCTTGTGGCAACCTTGCCCATGATTGTTAAATTATTGTTATAATATTTCCCCTTAAATATTTCAAATCCATTTATATTCTTGAAAAAATGTGCAGTTATTAATGAAATATGTTAAAACTGAATTTGAAGTTAGCTTTTTGGTCAGAAAAATTGCAAGAAATGACTTCGTTTTACCAAGATGTAATATTAAAAAGGTTCTGTAGAGCCCTCAAATTCTGTCCATTTTGGTTTCCTTACAAGAACTGAGTGGACTAAACAAAATTAACTGAAACGCCTTGTTTTTAAAGTATTATCTTTGGGTTGTTTTGACTTCTGATAGATTGGCAAGCATAACTGAATTCATGTGTTTGACTTCCTAGTTGTCAAAGTTTCTCTCTACTCGTATAGGTGTTAAGTACCTGTTAATTTAATGAGATTTAACCGTTGCATTTCATTCAGGAAGAAATTCAGACGAGAGATGTTGCTTTGAGGTACAGTAATGAAGTTAAAGGTGCTCAATTGGTTCAGGTTCAGAAGAAAGAAAGTGTAATTGAGAAATCATTTGATAAGCTGAAAGAAACAAGCACGGTACGAATGTTGTACCCCTCTTTATTGGACAAATGAAATTTGTGTGTATTATATAGATAGATAGATAGATAGATAGAGGTGTAAACTGCACGGCAGGCCCACATTTAATCTGTTGATGTTGGGTCATATCATATCATGGTCTTAATATGCTTGATTGCCTAGATGGGCCATGCCAGGCCAATGGACTTGGGCTTTTATTTTGAAATCAATAATTTTTATCCAAAATTAATGCTTATATTTAATTTTTTACTAGTTCATATAATTTTCTTAGGATTTTTATCATTTAGAACAAATTGAATTGAAGTGAGAAAATGTAGAAATACAAATACTGTCATTATTCTATTCTTTTTGGAATTTCACATCAGCATTTTCTAATGCATCTACACTGACGTTGCATTTCCATAGTTTACTTACATCCCGGCAAAGTTGGTACATGTTCGAAAATATATCCTTTGCATTAGTCATAGTTACAATAAAATTACTGTACATTGTATTTACCCAAAATATATTTAATGTGAGTATGTTGCGTAAGTTTCACGCATCAATCATCAATTCTATATCAAGGTTATGAGGTAGTTAATTTGGAATCCAGTTTCCTATTCTGCATTCTAAAAGTAAGAAACTTATGCTTAGTTGATAAAACTTTTGCTAAAATTTTATCGAACTTCTCTACTGGTAAAACAACTGTAATACTAAGTGGTAAAAGTAAGTAACTAGGATAATAATGTGGCAATTTTTTAGCTTGGAATTTCATATATGTTTAAGATAAAACATATCAATAGAAGGAAACATACGTGGAAAAAGGGTATGAATGAATGCTCCTACAGAGATGTGTAAGAACTGCTTTCAAACTTTTCTGGATCTCTGTATGCAATGTGTCTGCGAAGACAGTAGTTGCTCTCGTCCAATAAAAGATATCTCTTTCGTCTTTGTCTCTCTTACCATCTTTGAATTCTATGGACTTTCTGAAGGGATTTTTGAGTTTGTAGTTACTCTTCTAGTAAATCACTTTCAAGCCAAGTTCATACAGGAATGTGAAGCGAGTAATGAAAATATATTCACTGCAAAATCTAAATATTATTATTCTTTAAGGTAGCGAATCTACATCTCATACAAGATAGTGAGTTATCCTGAAGTTTCTTTGCTTGCCAAAGTAAGGGATAGTATATTATTCCTCCATTTGCTAACTTTCAATCTCTCAGAGAAAGTGTTTTGATGTTCATAAGCAGGATGTTTGGCAAGGCACCCAGCTTCTTGCCATTGACACTGGTGCTGCTATGGGACTGCTCAGGAGGGTTCTAATAGGGGATGAATTAACAGAGAAAGAAAAGCAATCTCTCCAAAGAACATTAACTGACTTGGCCTCAGTAGTTCCAATTGGCTTTCTCATGCTCCTTCCAGTAAGCCCTAACATTCTTATCTTGAATTGTACGTGTATTGGTGACACAGCTTGCCTCTAGGGGAGATTCTTGTAGAATTTGAGTCAATTATACGAGTATGAAATAATCAGGAACCAGAGGTGCCTAGTAGAAATACTTGCTTTATCTATAGGGGGAAATTCCTATGCAAGTAGTTATTGTAATCAAACTCTTCTCCCATATTTGGTTACCGCTTTCTGTGCTAAAAATATTTCACCTATTCACATCTTCTTTTTTCTTGTAACTATGTGCTAATTCACTGCTTTGCTTTGCACACAAACATTGACACGAGATTCACATTCTCAAGGAATGTTCCTTTTGGATGAACAGGAAAGGAAAACGAAAAGATAAACATTGACAACTATATGACCTAATATGATGTCCTCTGACCTGCTATGTCAATCAAAACTTAATTACCTTAACCCCAGGACTTCGTCTTTTCCTGGCTGTAGTGAACGGTATTTGCTATAACTTAACAGTGATGCAGTATGTTAGTCCTCACTCCTCACCTAATTAAATTGGTATTAAGCAGGCTTCTTGTCATATGAGAAAAATGGTTTGCTCACACTTAAAGCAAAACGGGGATTTACACGAGCATAGACAAAGCCAGTCTTTGTTTCTTCTAGAACTTGATATGTGCATATACTGACATTGCTGCATTATATACATCTTGCAGGTTACTGCAGTAGGGCATGCTGCTATATTGGCGGCAATTCAACGATATGTACCATCACTGGTGTGTACAAATTGATCCCTGAGCTAATTGTTTAATTTCCTGCATGAAGCCCGACCTGAGACCATACTTGATTTGTTCTCTGGCAGATACCTTCCACTTACGGATCTGAAAGGTTAGATCTCTTGAGGCAGCTTGAGAAAGTAAAGGAAATGGAAGATGAGGTGAATGCCAATGAAAGTCCAGAGGAATAACCACATTTACACGCCAGTTTCGTTCTGAATCCAGTTTCACAGCTTGTCTTATGGAAGTTCATTCCAAGTGTCTTGCACTCCAGGTATGTACTCGCTGCATTGCCTCCATTACTGTCTTTCATAAATTATTTTAAATATATTGTAATATGGTGTTTACAAAGTGAACATTTTCCGTTCCACTTTCCATTTGTTTGACTACCTTAGAAATGGACTTGTAGTTTAGTCTTTTTTTCGAACACATAAAGGTATTCAAGATTTGATCAGCTTGGTTTACTTATTTTTAAAGTACTGTAAGTATTTAAAATATTGTTTTTTTTTATATTTGTACATAATAGTATTTAAACGTTTCATGTAATGGTCCAATGACCTATTTGTTATATGAGTGCTTTATGCTAAATCTGATAAAATTAGTGGCCATTCAGTTATAATGACAAGTTTGTAGAGAAAAATGATCCAAGTTTTGGAAATGCCAAGATCAATTCTTTTAGGTATAACTGATTTTGCTTGCTTTATCTACAACCTAAATTGGTAAATTCATAAACAACAATGGTAATGAGGAGCATGATTTTTACTTGTATGAATTTTAGGCTAATTACTTTACAATAATCCCTACTTAGTGATTCGTACTTTTTTAAAGATAAGATCTGCTCCTTTTAATGCTTAAAAGTCTCTTGCAATTGTTGATAGGATAAAACGAATTTTTGCTACAAGTTTGGTGAGTCTTTAGTCATCATTTATGTTAGGTTTATTCTTCAAATTAAGATAAGTTCAGAATTCTCACAAGAAGTAATTTGAAAACAATATATTAATGGGCCCATCTAATTTTGTTCTTATCGTCAAGAATGAAGATCTCTTTCATCTTTCTTGCTTTATGTGCTATTCTACGTATACTTGACATTGAATGATGCTGCGCAATGTTCAAAGTAAAATATTCGTGTCTCAAAGCTTGTGGGTTTTTTTTTCCCTCAGGTAGTTTACCGAATCTCGAAGTCCGGCTCCTGCATTTGGAAATATTTTAATTACATTAATAGTTACACACACATTCAAAATTAGTACTTATTTACACGTTTCGTGATCCAACACTATTCATTCTAAAAAGTTACAAAAAACCTTTTTCGAACAGAGATTACTCATATTTGCCTAAACATTATTTATGAGTAAATGTCATAATGTCTATATCTTTTGTCATCATTGCGATTATTGTTCATATCATTTTAATTTTGGCATTTGCTCCCTCTTATCATTTATTTCATTCTAAAAATGGTACGTTTCTTCTAATTACATTCGTTTCTTCTGTTAAATAAGTGTGTACTTTGCACATGATATAATTTGAAAGGATAGAAATGTTATCTTACACCGGAAAGCCTCGTTATGGAGAAATAAGTGGATCGATGTTTTTACCCTTCTCAATTATGTCATGTACAAGCACGTGTCTATTTAACAGAAGAAGTGAATGGAATCCGATGTAAATGATAATTTTCGCAATGGTAAAACTATCAAAATTGAAACAATAGGAGTGATTATCGTATGGATGACGGACGATAGGAACGTTAATGCCAATTACCCTTTTCTATTGATATTATTGAGTGGATTGAGTTGACGTTATGGTCAATAACAACGTTTTCCGACTGTACAAGTCAAAGTGATTAAAGTCCTAAACTATACAGAAGTTGAGGTGCAAGTTACTTTGATACTATCATCAGATATTGATATCCTGTTGCAACTAAATTCAGTAGTAATTAGTAAAATTATTAGGGTGTGTTTGATAGCCTAGAAAATTAGGTGGAAAAAGAAAATGTTTTTCAACTTCACTCAATTATGGTGTTTGATTGCAAAAGTTTTCTTGCCTTTTGTTTTTTCTACATTTTCTAGGTACAATGATTTTATGTACATTTTTTTGAATTTGTTTTCCCACATATTAGGTGGGAAAGCAATTTCCATCCTTTTTTTTTTTTTGCTTTTTATTTTTAATGGCAACAAATTCTATCAACTATTGCAAAAAGAATTTTCACTTTTGTTGACAATTTCTATGCAAAACAAAGTCAAACGAATATGGTAATTTTTTCTAATTTTTTAATTTTTTAATTTTTTTTGACTTTTTGGTAATTGGAACAAATTCTAGACGCAATGGTAGAAAAAATTATCACTTTAATGAACAATTTTCATAAAAAATGAAGTCAAATGGATACCAAACTTTCAACATTTTTCAGGTGGAAAATTATACCAATTAAACACAATTAATTACAATTTCCAGTAAAATAATTTCTAGACAATTCAATTCCTAGTAAAATATTTTCTTTCCACATTTGGAATCAAACGGACCATTAGTGTATCAAGGTTCAGTTTTGAAACTTATCAAATGTAAAATATAAATAAATAAACACTTTCACTTTATAATAATTTTAAGTCAAGTCTTTTGATATTGTAGTTTGAATAAAACTTTTTTAAGTGAAAATTTCTCGAACAATATGACTTATTTTTAATTGACAAAAAGTTTATTATTTACTTGTAAGAAAATTCTTAAGCATGGACAAACTTAGGGAGTTCTTGTTTGGTTCTAAACTGTTATGGTAGCTAGCAAAACTTTCCGCTATTTAAGTTAATAGAAATGATCTATTACTCACTATAGATATGATGAAATATGCCCACTTGTCACGTCAACAGTCAAACTTACAATTCTTGACAATTCAACGTTGAATTGTCAAAAATTGTAAGTCCACGTTAGTAGTGGGTAAGATAATCTCATGTTCACGGTGGGTAGGAGATCATTCTTTTTAAACTAAATAAGTGATTATTTGGCAAACTATTCGACACTATACTCTTAACAATTTTGGCAATTGTTTTATCCTTTTTAAGTTAAATAAGCGATTATTCTCATTGTTGAATTAAAATTTTAGTATTCGTACAGTGGATTGGACCACAAGCCAAACTCGTATGACACATTTCTAAAGGAAAGATAGATAATATGCTATATTTCTTAGAAAAAACATGCCACAATTAGCAACCACACAAAAATGCATGCCAAACAACTTTCCTAGTTTCTCACGACTCCTCGGAGTTTAAGATTTTTCTGAGGGGACCCCCTGTCTGTAACGTGTTTTTTTCGATCATGTTAGATGCACCTGAAATAATTTTTTCCAAGCTATTTTAATTGAATTACTCAAGTAGTAAGTTGGTATTCGACTTTTAAAAACGGCAAATGAATTATCAATCTTTTATTATAATTGCACATCAGTCTTCCAATCAAACTTGGCCAATGTTTGAGTCACATTAAAATTTTTATTCACATTCTTTTACTCTTTTTCAACCACACATTCTCCATCAATTTATTATTCCAAAATACATTCTTCCAAAATAATGTGGCTCAAACACACGAGTTTGACGTTTTTGTGAAGTCTACGACAATTTAACAGATACTTAAAGCTAATAAAATGTTTGACTTGCTATGTTGTTAGTGTGATTAATTGGAGTAATATTGACGATGTTAGATACATATAAAATATAATATTTGAAAAAAAAAATAATTAAATTGAAGCAATATTGAGAGTTCTGAAAATTTCTTGTGATTGTTGCATAACTGATTTCAATTATTGTATGCTGAGAGTGATTGTCAAAAGACGTAATAATTAACGATGAACAATATTGCTTTAGGACATCATGTTGCCACGACTCTCAATCAATAAGTTTTCCTTTTAACATTTTATTATTCTACAATAATTCCTGCAACTAGTTTTTATCCTAAAAATAATGTATGTTGGCTTGACACTCGCTCGACATGGGCAAATCATCAGGCGTGGGTGGCTGGCTGGACTCATCTGCATGGCACTCCACATTCACCCCAAACAATCTCAGCCTCTTGGAGTTCCTATTTGGTGTACTTTGGCTCTGTAAAACTGATCCTGCAAGAAAATCACATTAGCAATTCGTGCTGCTATTCTACGCGCTGCAATAAATTTAAAGTTCATCTTTGATTCCTATTTTCTAAAACTCGATTTCTTTGGAACACATTTTCAATCATACATTTCATGGGGACGCACAATTTATTAACTTTTTAACTGCACATTTCATCAACTATTATCAGAATCAACTAAAAATCTAATTTATAGCTAAACCAAACATCGGCTAAATATACAAATAAATATGTTATATGTCTAAGAATTTTAGCTTCCAGGCAAAGCACTTGCTACCATCTACTAGTAAAAATTGTTATATATATATAATGATTTTCATGAAAAATGAATATTATCGTATTGAAGACTACATCTAATAAATAATTATGTATGCTTAACTGACAGTTTGATGTTTTAAACAGAGTTGTTCATTAGTACACGAAGGACAATGGATGACAGTGGAAAAAAATCGATCAAACAACTAGTAGAAAATTATTTGAACAATATGGGTTAGGACATGAAAAGATGTGGTGCCAATATCATAGCACAAGAACCTCCTTTCTACCCAATGACTAAGTAAATATGCTGGTAATGCTTTTGGTTATGTTCATAGAGACGATGATGAAGTTATGGAATATGGGCGATCTCCATCAAGTAGTGAGAAAGAAAAAGACCAAGAGCATGACAGAGACTAAAGTGCTTTTGAATGGTGACAAGAAGTATGACCAGTTGGCTTATGCCGTCTAGTTCTTTAGTTTTTCATTGTACTCCTTTGTCTCTGGACAGAGTTCGTTCTATTTTACTTTATCTAGGGTGAGAGTGTGTTTTTAGATAGGAGAAAAATGTTACGTGTAGACGTGCCTGTGTGGGTGTATTTACGTTGCAAATTACATGTAATTACGTGATATCCTAAGAAGAAATGAAAAGAAGATAGGGTTAAGTGTAATGTAGTGCCCAGAAACCTGCATGAAAACAATCGGATTGATATGGGAGAGAAGACCCTTGAGAATGCACGGGATAAGGGTAACCAGAATTCAAAAGTTGTTTCCACTCATCACTGCCACCAGAAGCCACCGCAGCCGGCTGAGCAACATAAGATTCTTGGACCGCGCAACCGCCAATGTTTCTCCGTCTCCACCCAATGAAAAGCCGGCCACCTTCCACTTGATGGCGCTCGAAAATAACAATATCTCCTGCATCAAGCCTCTTTTCCTTAACGAAATGGCTCCAACCTTTTGTCAAGACATAGCTTTGGCTACTGTTCCAATAAGAATATCGAAACGTCCAATATTTTCCCGACTCATCCTCAAAGCTTAGGAGCAGCCCTTTTTCTGTGTAGCCGTTTAGGGAAAAGTACTTTTCGGCATGTTGTTTTGGTATAACAAGACGGTTGAGCTTGCCCACATCACTTGGACTCAATGGTTTCTCAAATAATGTCTGTTTAGGAATTTCTTGATGATTGTATTGCTGGTCCAGTGTGCTTTTGCTGCAGGTGGGCTGAGAAATGAAGTTTTTGTGGTTTGAAGATGAGCTATTTCCAGAGGATTCCATCATGTACATATTATACTTGTTCGGTACACCAGTGAGATTCTGAAAGTTCTGAGAAGAGAGAGAGAGAGTTGCGATGTTGTACGTATTCATGTAAAACAGTAGGAAAAGGAAGGGAGAAGCCTGATATGAAAATTGTTTGTGTTTTTTATGTCGAAAAGTATGGGCGCTGAGCAGTGATGCCAACTAGGAACAATACATAACTCCTATACTAAGAATCGCAATTCAAAATTAACTTGTCAATTTATTTCAAAAAATCATGTATTAATTCCATGTTATAATATATATAGCCCAGGTTTGATCTACAATAAAATTTTCATTTTCATTCTTCTACTCATTTTCAACCACATATTCTTCAATAAAATGATATTTTTCATCATATTAATAACTTTTCCTTTTTTTTCAACCACACATTCTCTATCAATTTATTATTCCAAAATAATGTGGCTTAAACACACCCTAATTAATTGGAGTTAATTATCCACATCCCCACCCCCACCTAATAATAATATATTAATTAATAGTATCCCCCACTCCCATGCAGACCCCACCCCTCCCCCAAATCACATAAAGCCGCAATTAACATAGACCTGATCACAAACGGTAGCAATGAAGATAGACTTGGTCACACCCGATTTTCGCCACCGCCACCATTCCCAACAACGTCAAGACCCAAACGCGTACAACTTCACCACGACCATATGAACTACCGCAACAGAACCATTATCGCCTTTACCTCCACCAACAAAACCTCCAATAAACCATAGATCAGAAAATCATTGTCACCAATATTATTGTAGAAAAAATTGTTTCCAGCCTTAATGTTAGAACTGTGTGGTTTCGTTAGATCAAATGCTCAAAATTAAGTTTGAATATGAAGATTTTGTGGAATTATGAGCTTTTGGTGTTAATTTGGTGAATTTAGATAGAAAGGAATGTCAGAAATCTCAATGAGACAATGACCACAAACACTATTACACAATAATCTAATCACGACCATCAACACCACCACTACTTGCACCGCCGCCTGCACTACAATTTGCCAAACCACCCCCAAAAATCTATAGATCGAAAATGAAACATCACACCAAAAAATCAGGAGCGACTGTGCTGCTGCAGCATAACCCGCGCGCATCCGTACCACTACCATGGACTTATCGTTGTTGCAAGCACCAACGCCAGGTTCGCCTAGATTTTTGCAAACACCACCATAGTAGCGACGACAGTGAAGCCAGGTGTCACTGCTCGCAGCAATAGCAGCGCCTTTCTGTGATGTTGCGTGTGGCGGAGCAGAACCAACGTATATAGCGACGTCAGAAGAGATGGTATAGAGTGAGGGTGAGTGGTAAAGAGAGAGAAGATATAATGAAGAGGTTGAGAAATTTTGGAGTTCGAAAATGAATTGGGTTTAGGATGAATTAGGGTAGGGTGGGTGGGTTGGTGGGGGATGAATATGTAGATTAAGTTTAATTAATTTTTTATCGATTACAATTAATAATCATATTTATCATCTGAATTAAGGTTTAATTTAAAATTTTATTAATTACAATTAATAATCATATTTATCACCTGAAATCTGAATTTTAAACTTAACCCCCTTATTTATGAAAACTAATCTTTAATTGTAGGGTTATAGGTAATTTTCCCTTACAATTGCATGATAAATTGATTGATCCAAAACTCAAACCCATTTTGAGATGTCGTGGACCATTGGATCTTATTCGGATGAAAAATAAGATCAATGGCCGGCAATAAAGGTAAATTTAGGTCATATATATGACGGTTGTTTCTTGCTTTGTGCTTCCAAAAATTCTCATCGTTCGTCTTCTTTCAAGCCTCGGGTTGAAAGTTGTTCTCTCTGATTTTCATTTTGTAGATTAAATACTTGTGTAAGTGATAGAGAGAGATGGTGATCGAATCTCAATTGCATCCTTTAATTTGATATGGATTTTACACTAATTTTTCATGGTTGGGATTTAATAGCTAAACAAAGGGTACAATTTTTTGTCGAGCCCTTCGATCTGTAAACTCCATTGGTGCTATTGAAGCTTCATTTGTGGAGGTGACTTGTCATTTTATTTTATTTAATAGTAGAGAGAATTGAAAAACACATATTATACGTGAGCATTTGGAAGTCCAACGGTACTTTCAGCTTTTGATTTCATTCTCCAGTTTAGCATCCTTGTTTGAATTGTCTCATTGAATTTGAAAATATTTCTAAAATTTTGTGGACGACACGACGTCGTTCTGTCCCTGTCTATCTCTTCCTATGTTCTGATCTTATCTTTTGCATGGTTGTTACATTGCGGTATGAAAAGTACTTTCAGACAAATTCCAGTTATATTCACACACACACTTCTGACACAAAACTTTGGACTTGTGCATTATTATTTATTAAGCCTCGTTTGGTACAGATTAAAATCAAATTTTTAATAAACTTTGATAAAATATGTGGTTGAAAAGTTGCGGATCCCACGAAATGTATGATTACAATTCTTGGCCGACTTCGACTTGAAATTAAAATCAGATTTTAATTCGAACCAAACAGGAGTTAAGTATAGAGACTAAATCAGATTTTTGATAAAAGTTGTAGGATCCATCAATTATGTTTTAACTTAATTTCGATAAAAATCTAGATTATCATTTTTATCGGACGGGGGCTAAGTATAGTGGTAAGTGGGTCCCTTCTTTTCCTGCCCTCAAGCTTGACTATAGTGGTCCTTAGAGTTGAAATAATTACTCATTACTCATCAGAAGCGTGCATTGACTCTCCTCTACTAGGGTGGGTCCACCGCATCGATCAATTATATTATTGGGGGTTAAACATGTTAGATAAATAATTTTATGTTTTCTTCTTGGATAAATTATTGTGTAAATCTACCAGTTTATTAAAAATAAAATTACAATATAATCCGCATAGGAGGAACCAAATGTTTAATCATTGAGTATTGAGAATTAGAAACCCTAATTTATATCACGAAAAGCAATAAAATCAAAATTTCGCTTCAGTGTAAAATTATGTCATCATCTGTACTGCAATAATTCGCTATGATGAAAAGTTCATAACACACCACGACAATTTAAGACCAAGAAGCATACTCCACCCATGCATAGTGAAACTACTCATATTGAGAAGGTCATTTTGATATGATATCAACTTCTCTTTGTCTTCACATATTTAACCTACGTTGGATTATTTGATGAGAATCTAAGGTCTAAGTTATGTGCACCTGTCATACAATATCGACTTGCATGTGCTAGAATAATGAATTGGTCAATACAAGACAAAAATAATTAATAAAAGAAGATAATTTTTTTTCCTTTTATCCTAAGTAGTATTATTCAATTTGTGTATCAAAAACAACCTAAATTTTGAATTTCTTGATGCTCAATATTTGGCGGAAGACAAAAATTTCATTGCCCAAACTCTAGGTTCATCAGGATATATATATACACACGTACATGTTTAATGAGCAAACGTTGCTTTTGTTATATGTGAGCCATAATATAGGCTATGTTGAAAAATATAGATAGTGAATCTCTCATCAGGGTGTCCTAATCCATAAGATATTAAAAGGATTGAAATGGATGGTTTGAATTTAAAATTTAAACCTACAACTCCCCATAACTCACATTTTAACCTCCAAAATTTTGGTCTAACATTTGAGAAAAAAATGATGGCAAGAAACGTGTGAAATTCGTATGGAAAATCGCGCATAAAATGAAAAGCACCTAGAACCTCATTTTTGGCATAGAAACTCACAAAATTAGGCATTTTGGTCGTGGATTATAATCTCCTTCCATTGTGTTTGCGATTGTCATCATTGGAGTGCTAGAAAATGCAGAATTTGACTTTGGAAAGCAAGATGATTCAATTAACTCAAATAAGTATCTTGATCCGAAATTTCACGTTTATGAATGTTGCAAATTCCTACCAGCCACGATGCCCAATTTGAAGGGAAGATTTCCTACTTATAAGAAAATTAAAAAGACGAGAAAAAATGAGATTGTCAAGTTTTTCCATACTCAACAATTGCGACTATACCTTTAGATATATCTTTTAGCACTCTGATAGTAAGTTAAAATTAATTGTGATTTGGTGCACTCGTGCGTGTACATGGTCGTGCATGTTCGTGTGCGGGTCAGAGAGATAGAGAGAGTACCCTCCACCTCTCCATGGTTCTCTCAACCCATTAAGGAAGATGATATAGCTCCCAAATCGCTCCAGAGTTGTGGGTATGTTATTATGCACAAGAAAATCATATTTTAAGAGCAATCTATTATCAAATAAGTGGAAATTACATCCTTCCCTACTTTTGGAGATCCATTTTCCAAAATCAGATTTCATAGTTTAAATTTCAAAAATCAGAACTTTTTTAAATAGATACAGATTACAATTATATTAATTATAAATTTTAATCACAATTAATTTCATTTAAAAACAAACCCTAAATTCATACCTTCCACTCTCTACCCTCGC